CTGGGGTTTTGCAGAACCCCAATATCCAGTTTTCCCACATTCAGTCTTCAGCGCTCTTAAGCTCAATAGATATTATTATCTTTATTTTCTGTAGGGATAATTTCAGGCACTGCAGGGACGGCTATGACATCTGTGTGAGCAAATGTCCCCCTTCCCCAAGCCACCACGCTCCTGTGTCTCAACAGGGGGGTAAATCCTGCTCCTTGGGAACCCAGCCTGGGAGTTGCGCTTCCCACGCTCCCCGTCACAGTGAGGCCAGATAAAAGACAACTGTTGAGGCACATCTGGTTCCTATATTAAGGGATTCAGGCAGACTCTGAGACACCGCCCTGAAGATACCATGGGCTGCTGTGAACATAGCTCAGGCTCCCACACCATGGCTTGAGTTCGCAAGTTAGCTCCCATTTGCAGCACGCTGGGAATACCACACTGGGTAACTGGAAGTCCAGAGCACCCAGCTCTAGAGACTATGGGGGAGTTGGTCCCTGGGGGTGTTGGTCAACTGTCGGCTGAACATGAGCCAGCAGTGTGCCCAGGTGGCCAAGAAGGCCAATGGTATCCTGGCCTGTATCAGGAACAGCATGGTAAGTAGGACTCAGGACATGATCATCCCCCTGTAGTCGGCACTGGTGAGGCCTCACCTGGAGTACTGTGTCCAGTTTTGGGCCCCTTCCCACAAAAAAGACATTGAGGTGCTGGAGTGGGTCCGGAGAAGAGCAACGAAGCTGGTGAGGGGTCTGGAGAGTAAGTCTTATGAGGAGAGGCTGAGGGAGCTGGGGTTGTTCAGCCTGGAGAAAAGGAGGCTGAGGGGAGACCTTATTGCTCTCTACAACTACCTGAAAGGAGGCTGTAGAGAGGGAGGGGTAGGTCTCTTCTTCCAAGTCACAGGAGATAGGACAAGGGGAAATGGCCTCAAGTTGTGCCGGGGGAGGTTTAGATTGGATATTAGGAAAAATTTCTTCACGGAAAGGGTTATCCAGCATTGGAATGGGCTGCCCAGGGAAGTGGTTGAGGCACCATCCCTGGAGGTGTTCAAAAGACAGGTTGACATGGTCCTCAAGAATATGATTTAGTGGTTTTTTGGGGTTTTTTTTATTGCTTATTTCTTATTTATTTTTTTGTCAGAGTTAGGTTGATGGTTGGACTAGATGATCTTTAAGGTCCCTTCCAACCTAGACGATTCTATGATTCTATGTTTCCTCCTAGGGAGGCTCCACCTGTGCAAATAACTTAATTTCGAATCATGAAGCCAGTGAGGTCCATAATAAGAGATAAGATGCAGTCACGTGCCATCGACTCATTATCATTCTCACTGGGGCAAATTAAAAGCTTCTTTTTTGTACATCTAGAAATGCCGTGTAGTTCTGGGGTTTGGGCTAAAATTTTCCATGATCCATCTCTAGAATATGTTGGTAGATGCAGAGAGGGAATTGCTTGACACTATTAAACAAACAACAATACTGAAATCTTCCTCTCAAAATACTACTAGCTGCAGGTCAGCTGAGAGAAGAAATCGAGAGTTCAGCAAGGAAATAGAAACTAATGAGAAAAGAATTATTATTTAGAGTGTTTCAGTGATGAGTAGTTTTGATCTGATTGAATTATAGCCCCATAGGAGGAAAGGTGTCACTCTCTGTGAACATAGCCCATTTTCTCACAGGCCATTTTCATTAGGGCTGCACACATGGGCTGCCCTGGAAGCCGCGGTGCTTGTAGATGACTGTCTGATGCAGAGCAGTTGAGCACAAAAAAGGTTGAGAAAGTGGTAAACGAAACAAAGGTCCCACAAAAAGAGACATAGAAAGCCATCAGAAACTTAAACGAAAGAAGAAATACAGTGTAAAGAGGAGGGAGTTAAAAAAGGAACACTATTTATGCCATGTTTATTAAGGTCAAAACATCCTTAACTTATAGGTTCTGAGGTATATCAATATAACTCTGGTATTGATAAGGAAAGTTCAGTGGCACACTGCCAACAGCAGACAGTGTACCAGAAAAATGTCACTAGTTCCAGTTGGCAAATTCAGTTCCTTCAGCTTTTCATCTAGTTTGAAACAGACTTACCAGTGGACAGTGATTTCTTCTGACAGCTCAGGTGTTGATGTTTCCAGGGTAGGCAGCTGGGGACTTGAAACCTCCCTGCTACAAAATGTCTGACAGCAAGTTGGCTTGTTTTGCACAGAGATCAGAGAATTGCCATTAAAACACACACATAGCACTCATCTTTAAAAGGCATCACTTTCACAGGTTGAGACAACAACCAGTTGCTGTATTAGAGGCATCCTGGGGCTTTACGCCTTGAGATGTGTATCTCCTGGGACATCAGAAGCAATTACTCATTAACGAATCTTTACTTTCCACTCCCCTCTGCATCTTGCGATTTCTGCCCTCAGCGAAATAGTCTTGAATAGCTGAACTCCCTGCCTGGCCTGTAACCTAGCCCTCACACCAATTCTTTTTACTTTGGCAGAAAGACGGAGAATCTGGCTGCAGACCATGAATATTTCCAAGATGGTGCTAGGTGCCAACTTCACTAACAACTCCTTCAATTGTACGATTGACGGCTTCAAGCAAGTCATTTATCCCATCATGTACCTCCTTATCTTCTGCCTGGGTGCTGTTGGAAATAGCCTCTCCATTTATGTTTTCTTCCAGCCTTCACAGAGGAAGACCTCAGTAAACATTTACATGCAGAATTTGGCTGTTTCAGATCTCATGTTTGTGAGTACTTTGCCCTTTCGGGCCACCTACTTCCTGTTGGGATCACGCTGGGTATTTGGTGATGTCCTCTGCAGGATCATGACTTACATCTTGTACGTGAACATGTACTGCAGCATTTATTTTCTCACCGTGCTCAGCGTGGTTCGTTTCATAGCTATTGTCTACCCATTCAAGCGCTGGAAAGTAACCAACATGAAGTATGCCAAGATAATATGTGCAGCCATATGGGTTTTTGTCCTGGTAGCCTCCAGCCCTCTGCTATGCAAGGAAGTTGCTGGATACAAATACCCAGACAAGTGCTTGGATCTCCACCCCTCCAACACGCACAGGCTCCTGATAATGAACAGCTTTGTCCTCCTTGTGGGCTTCATTCTGCCATTTTGCACAATTATCGTCTGCTACATCTTTGCCATAAGAGCGTTGCTCAAGTCCAAGAATCCACAGTGCAAGAAGGCGGTTTGTCACAAGAAGGCACTGTCAACCATCATCATCACTCTCATCCTCTTCCTCCTCTGTTTCCTGCCGTACCACATACTGCGAACAGTCCACCTGACGAGAAGCGGTTGCAGCCCGGCCAACCTCCCTCTGCACAAGGCGCTGGTGGTCACTCTCTGCCTTGCTGCCATGAACAGCTGCCTCGATCCCATCCTCTATTACTTCGCTGCTGAAAATTTCAAAGCCAGAATCAGAAGTTTGTACCGCAGATAGCTGACGCAGAATTGCAAAGTACAAAAAATATGCAAAATATTTATATATGGTCCTGGTGTGGTATCTAGACTGGGTCCATACTGTTCAATGGCAGAGGCTGTGTGGTGCTAGCCAGCCCGCAGCCATGCTGCTCAGTGCCAGGCATCTCTCAAGCAAAAATGTCTTGGAAAGCGCTCATTGGGGATGCCCAAAACTGAGGCAGAAAGATCAGAGGTCAGGTGTCTGGGTGTGATCCCTGGTCCTCTTCTATTTAGCAGCGTAGATACACCTCTAGTGTTCATTCTCCCCAGGACAAGGGGTTGAAAGGGATTTACCTTGCTATTAGAGTCCATTTATTTCACTTCACAATACTCAATGAGTGGCTTGAAGGTCAACTCTTCCCCTGATCACCTCAGCGTCTGGGTCTGAACCTCTCTGTGCTCCATTTCGCTGTGTGTGCAGAGGTGTGGGGTTCAGATGCTGTGATACCCAACAGCTTCATAGTGCCCTGTTAGTTCCCTTTGCAAACACGGGCCAGAGGTCTGCACATCACAGAAATGTAAAGTATCACTGATACTTTCTGCTGAGGCTGACTTACAAAGCAGACAGAGAGCCAAACGGGAGCCAGCACAGGCTCAGGCTGTTCAGAGGGCATTAGCATTTCTAGATTTTCCATTCTGAGGAGGCCACCGAGGTGTTGATGGTTGGGCTCGGTGATCTCAGAGGTCCTTTCCAACCATGACGATTCTGTGATTCTGTGTTCTGCTTAACATTTCTCTGATTGCCAAGTGAGATAATGATTTCCAGTTACCGGCGCCAGGATGGAGCACTATGAGTTAAGATGACTGCGGGCAGCGAGAGCAGGATGTGGGCGCACGTAGCATCCTGCACGTCTTCACGTGTGCGCCCATTCCTTCGAGGTCATTGCAGCACTTGTTTTTGTGGTCAGTTCTGACAGCCGAGGTTAGGAAGCTCAGTTCCCATGCAGGGATCCAGAGGCAAACCTTTAAATTATTTCCTCCAAGTGGGGAGCTAAGGGAGTGGTAAACCAGTCTGACAGCAACCTGCTGCCAAAGGCATCCCTAATCCCACACCTCCTGTCTGCTGCGAGGAGGAAGCTAGTCCCTTTTTTCATAGGATTAACTTCCAGTTGTTTTGAACTCCCTGATACCAAACATAAGGAAGCACTAAACCAGGAACAGGAGGAAAGACGTGTAGTGGAGGAGGAGGAGGAGGAGGGCAGTTTCAGAAAGCAATAGAAAACTACACCTATGTGTTCTTTGGAAAATCTCACCAGATGGCTGCCTGCATATTTAAGTTCCCTGAATATTTTCCAAAATATATTTCTTAGAAATCAGATCACTTGCAATTAAGTGAAAACAGACTCCAAACTCAGTTTGACCACATTGAGATTTTGGTTTTAATTACCTCATTTAAAAAAAAAAAAAAAACCCCAAGAAGTTTTGTCATATTTTCCAGGACAGCAGCCTGTCTCATGTGAAAACTAGCAAAAATACTGAAAACCTTCCCTCCCTGTGAAATCCACCCAAAGGAATGTTTCTGTCAGTGAAGATACTTTCTCAATGCTCTGAACTTTTTTGGAGAATGTTATTGCACTTAAACAAAAATAACTGCAGCTAGATATTCTCAGCTCTGTCTGAAATACGCAGAAAACAAAACATTGCTGGTCAGGTGGAAAAGTGCTTGGCAAATCACTGGAGAAATCACATTTTTCTTGACTATCTAAGGGTTATGTTCAATTGTGGAGTCAATCTATTTTGGTCACTTTATGCTGCTTTTTATGTAAGCACAGAGTTTTATCATAAGTCTTCACAAAAGTTCATGCTCCGAATCCTTATTTCAGTAACTCAGTGGCATACCTGAGAGCTGACCTAATGATTTCATGTGAACTCCTACAGTGCTTGGTCCCATGTTACTGAAGGATAAAGGAATATTGCCACTCATTTGCAATGGAATGGGATCGACATGACAGCCTGTGCAGAGGGATGGTGGACAAATAATTGGAAGGAAGGGGGAAAACTTGCAGTTTTTCCCTGTCATGAATAGACCTCAGCAGGGACAAATGATAATCTTGGAGCCTCTGACAAGGTACTGTACACCTGAAATACTACAAAGGAATGAAAAGAAAATTAGCCATATTCTAATCTCACTCACATGTTTTTGTCTGCATCCATCCAAATGCACCCTATTATCAGGTAATTTTGCACCTAGAGGATATATGTATCTCACTTATGAGGTCACTTTTTTTTTTTTTATTGACCATGCTACAACTTTGCTAGCAATTGAATTAACTGTCAAACCTGTGTTTTAATAAACCAGATTTACTAGTTGCTGAAGATATGTTTTTTATTGATTGCACAGCTAACAAGGAATCTCCTCAGAGTGTGGGGGAGAAAGACCAAGAAACAGATACTGAGTTTCTGTAAGTGGGCCATCATTTCACAAGAAAAAAATGTCTGTGGAGGTGTGACAGCAATCCTGCTGCCTTCTTCACTTCACCAGCAAACGGGGAACATCAGTCAAAGTCTGGGGTGCAGATAAAGTAATAGATTTTTTTTTAAATTATGATTTACTTCCAAAAGGATTCAAGACCATCCTTGTTAGGGATCCTCACATGCAGCTTTAAGAACACTTGCATAGCATGCCACATTCCCATTTTACTGTCATTTCTCCATTTGGTATCCCTGCATGCCTCTTCTCACAGAGATGAAGACCAAGGTTCTTCACTGTGGAGGTATCATAGTAAAAAATGTAGTAAAAAAAAGACACCATATTTATTCTGAAAAATGAAGCTCCTGACAGTTAAATTACTAGCAACGTTTCTAGGACGCTCAAGGGACCACCTACTCCTTAAAAAGTATTTTGATATGTTTCCTCAATTTTCCAGGAGACAAAATCTAAGAATAGCTGTGTGCATGGAAAGTTAAAGCAACAGTAAACTTTTGAGCCTGAAGGAGACATGAGAATAGCAAATTAAGCCTTTAAGTGACTGATACCCCTAAGCGATAGCAAATGTTCTAGCTTCATAGATATGCTCCCCTGACATTCAGGGAACCGCTGGTATTTCTAGACAAAGGCAATTTTTCAGTCCAAAACTACACACTATATTGCCTTCCTCAACACGCATCTAGCTACCATAGCTTATGTTTTGCTTTACCTCCTAAGAGTGTCTGGAGAAAGGGGAGCGCATTTTGCTGCTCAGTATCTCCTTCCGAGGTGCGTGCTCCTCTATGCTTCGACAGCAGGTTGTGCTGACAGAAGAGCAGGCATCTGACTTTCCCCCCTGTCTTAGGGCTGTCGATGCTTCTCTTTGTCCTTTGGGATGTGCAAGATAGAAATGACCTGCTGCCTCTCTAGCTGATAGGAACGGAAATAAAATCCATCCAAAATAACCAAGTGTAATCTCAGTTAAGGAGGAGTCAGATGTTGTTTCAATAGTGACACCATCCCCGGCCTAATGTTTTGATTTCCTGCATCATATCTGAGCCAGTTTAAATGACAGCCTATTTAAAAGACAGTGTAAATGAAGTGCAAGTGCAGATTCCCTGAGAGGGTTCAGTATTGTTTGAGGCACTTCAGCTTTCTGGCCAGCACTGACCGTGACCTGCCAGGCGATACGACTGTCCTCGCATGGGTATTCAGTCCTGTGCCTCTCACACAGTTGTGCTGTGTATATACAGGAATCGTTCTGGACATCTGCAAAGCAATATATTTAATTACATGCAGCTGATGTTGCGTAGTTACATCTGTTCATCCATGAGTCAACAGCTTAAGGAGGCCAAAGAAATTAAATAGCTTCCTTTGTCCCAAATTCCCTTTTCACCTTTCAGAAAAACTGGCCAGATTTCCACCACCCCTTCCCCTCCTTTTGATTTTGCAGCTGAAAGGATAAAGCTGCAGTGGCCAAAGCCTGGTCACTCAAGTCACATTCCTGCTCACAGGAGAAAAATCTGAGCCTTTATTTCTGAAGCTGAGGAATAAAGCTTTGGACCTTGGTCCACCACCCATATCACCTCACGTAGGGCTTGAATGCTGCCGTGATTTAACCCCAGCCAGAAACAAGAACCATGCAGCCACTTGCTCATCCCCCGACTTTGGATAGGGGAGAGAACTGGAGGAGTAAAAGTGAGAAAAAAGCCTCATGGGTTGAGATAACGACAGTTTAATAGGTAGAGCAAAAGCTGCACATGCAAGCAAAGCACATCAAGGAATTAATTCACTGCTTTCCATTGTCAGCAGGTGTTCAGCAATCTCCAGGAAAGCAGGGTTCCATCATGCATAATGGTTACTTGGGAAGACAGATGCTTTAACTCCAAATGTCCCACCCTTCCTTCTTTTTCCCCCAGCTTTATGTACTTAGCAAGTTCTCACATGGTGTGGAATATCCCTTTGGTCAGCTGGGGTCAGCTGTCCCAGCTGTGTCTCCTCCCAATGTTTTGTGCACCCCCAGCCTTTTCATTGTCAGGCTGGTGTGAGGAGCAGAAAAGGCCTTGGCTGCTTAGCAACAACCAAACCCACCAGTGTGCTATCAACACTATTTCTTATCCCAAATCCAAAACACAGCACTACACCAGCTGCTAGCAAGAAAGTTAATTCCATCACAGCTGAAACCGTGATAAATAAAAGTTATATAATAACTTTATATATATTATTCATTATAGAAATAATATTATTTATTATAAAAATAAAAGTTGCTTAACCAACTTGATCTTGCTTAACCAACTTGATCTCTTTCTATGATCATGTGACCCTCTTTCTCAATGAGGGGAAGGTTATGGACGTTGTCTACCTGGACTTTGGTAAGGCCTTTGGCATGTTTAGTTTGGAGGAGGCTGAGGGGAGACCTCATTGTCCTCTACAACTTCCTGAAAGGAGGTTGTAGAGACGTGGGTGTTGGCCTCTTCTCCCGAGTGAATAATGACAGGACCAGAGGAAATGGTCTGAAGTTGCAGCAGGGGAGGTTTAGATTAGATATTGGGAAGAATTACTTTACTGAGAGGGTGGTCAGGCACTGGAACAGCCTTCCCAGGGAGGTGGTGGAGTCACCATCCCTGGAGGTATTTAAGAAACATGTAGACGTGGCACTTCAGGCCATGCTGTAGTGCCCAAGGCTATTGGTTTGTGGGTGGGTGTGATGTGGTGGGGTGTTATGTTTTGTGGGTTTTCTTGTTGTTGTTTGGGGTTTTTTTGTTTTGTTTTTTTTCTTTTTTTTTTTAAGGTTGGACTCGATGATCTCAGAGGTCCCTTTCAACCATGGTGATTCTGTGATTCTGTGATTGCTCAGAGTTGTGGCTGGCAGGTTTGCTCATCACATTTGCTGTCTGCATTTCCAGATGTTGAGATGTTGAGCCTGTTATCTGTTGAATGTTACTATGTCGTCTTCTGAGCAGCCATGGTAGATGCAACTGGGGATGATTCACGCAGAGTAGAGCTATGTTTCATAACATACATAATTTTGGGGAAGGAAATCCCTGGATAGGGGATCTGCACTCCCTGCAGATGTTTCTTGCATTATTGCCAGCTTTCAGTTCTGGAGGCAGGGAGCCTGACCATATCTGGCAGGCCAGCTCCAAGCCCCTTCTGAGATCCAGCCCCAAAAGCCCTCCATGGCAGAGAAATCCCTGCTTTCTCTTGGTTTCTCCTTGCAACTAGTCTCTCACCAGAATTTCAGGATGCTTAAGGCTGCTTTGTTCATTGCTGAGGTACTGCTTGCATGCTGGAAGTTAGCTTTTCTCTCCTGGCAACTACAAGGACAAACAATCCAGAAAGAATGAGAAAAGTAATCCAGCTCAAGAGCCATCATACATCTTCTGAAGGCCTTTGTTC